ACACCTTAAAGCTAGTGAGCTGGACAGCTGTCATTAGGAAATAGGGACTCCTCTGAAGTTTTCAGACATCATTGTGAGGACCATTAGTCCAGAGTGAATTCAGAAAAGGGGTGGGGTGGGGGGAGACTTCTTAAAGAATGGACCATTTACTTCTAAACCCATTATGAATGTCTTTCTGCTTCATTGCTTTTTTGTTGGCCCTGGAGTGAAGAGGACAAGTGTGGTCTCTTCACAATTTAAATACTGCATTTTTAATGTAATTGTGACAAGGACAAGGGGCAAGAGTGTATTATTATGTGAAGAGTAAAATACTGCTGCAAAATTTGTGTTTCTTTTAGAGCTGTATTTGATTAAAGTATGCTAGCGGTTTAGTATAGTAGCCTACTGGATTGTGACAAGTTTCCTAGGTGGTTATTTTTTTGTTGTTGCTACTTTTCTTCCAGTGTGCTTTTTTACATAAAGCGTTATACAGCTCTGCAAGTCCACCTCTCAGTGTTGTTTTCTTTGAACGATTTTGCTGTATGATCTATGGATTTTAAGTGTAATGAGAAAACATCCATAATTGGACAGAGCATCTCTTAGATAAAACATAATGACTCAATTGCTTTTACTTAGAACCAGCAGTTTGCCAATTTTGGAGGTAATTTTGTCTTTATGGCCATGGAAAAATTAATTCGGTGGTGAGGGGACTGGGGTGCTTATTTATTGTGAAAAAGAAAAGCTGATTTGATTTCTGTGATCTAGTTCCGAGAGAGATATTTAATACAGCAAAGACATCTGGCATGAATCTCTGAGCAGAACACGTGGAGGCTTTCTCTTTCCTAGTCAGACGCTTGGTGGTAGAAATGTACCATTATGCTGGCTAAGAAGGTCTTAGAATTGTTGAAACTTATCATTTGGTTGTATAAATTAAATGCTGCCTTTTGTGAACATTAACTTTATTATGCTACAACATAATCTGTCAAATATGATGTTCCACTAAAGTTTGTTTTCTGTAATGTAGTTTTGCAGATGGCCCTTGTCTCCGAAACTTTCTGTATGCATTAAGAAAGTTTGCTAACATATTCACATTCAAATGTTTGAAAGGTATGTTATGATGAAAAAAAAATCAAAGTGGAATTGTGAAAACCCTTAGTACAAATAAAAGAACTCAAGAGAGCTTGATTGCAGAATTAATAACATGATAGTTCTAGGAAAAAGAACTTCACTAGTAAATTAAATTCACTGTCAATAGATGAAAATGAAATAGCGCTTTTTTTTTGCATTATACATGAGGTGGTATCAGATGTGCAAGGATGTTATAGAAAATTGATGTTTATCAAGGATATTCCAAATAGTAAATTAAATGCCTTTTCATCTGAAGATCGCTTATTTTCAGTGGGTTGGAAAGGGTGCACGGAAAATTAGTTCTTTTGTCTTTAGTCCCACTTAGTGGAGCATTTTTTTCTTATTACATTGAAATTGCTTATTTTAGTTGTAGTCCTGACGCATGTTTATTCATATAAAGTGCAAGTATGTGTTGGAAAAAATGGATAGCTGGAATGAGTTGAATAAAATTTGGTGTGTCTAGTGACGTAACCCGATTAAGTGAGAGTGAAATGTCAGGATAAAGGAAGGCTTACACTCTGCCTCTAACAGGTGGAGACCAATCACACACTATGAAATCAATTTTGCGGATAAAATAAGCCTTGTAGTTCATAAGAAGCTTTAAGAATTCTGAACAGTTTGTATTGAAAGGCGATTGCCACGAGGTTGCTACCTATTTGGGCAGATACATCTCTGATCTTCTGATAGACTTAATCGTGTTTCTGTTTATTTTGCCCACAAGCTGGTGGAATTATCTGAGGTTTTGATGTTGTTCAGCTTAACGACCTCTCAGCTCTTTTCAACTTCTCTTACGTTATGTATAGATGATACTCACCTTATATGTCTCTGACAAGCTAAAACTAAAAGCTGTAACTAACATTGCCGAGATGGTAGGGCTATCTTTAATCTGGAAACCCATTTTTGTTTGTTTCATACACACGCACACACACATGCATGAAATGAAACAAATGCACGTATGTTGACTATATTCTGTTAGTATGTATATGCTTGGTTTTTATTCCACGAAGCATTTTTCTGTTTCCATTTAGTAAGAGATTTTTGGGAGAAAAGTTGTACTTTAATTGTGTACCGTAGTAGATTTTCTCAAATTATACCTAAGCTTTGAAATAGAATAGATCTGAGGTTACGATTTTAAGTATTGTTTGAAAACAGGTCAACATCTTTAGAATGTAATTGTGTCCATTAGGCTTAATGAAAATCTAGTGCACTTGTGAAAAACTTTCTTCAGAATATATAGGACAGAATATAGACATACGTTTGGGACATTTTAATAAATTGCCATTCAAATGATAAATTCATGATTTCATTATAGTCACTATACTCTTTTCAAATTTATGATACTGTTTTCGCTTCTTGCTCCTTTTCCTACTCCTGTTACATATATCTTTAAAAAACCTTAAGCAGACTTGCTTTTCTGAATAATATTTTTAATGCTTACGGTTGAAATGAAGGAAACATTTATTCCATATTTATTGATATGAAGTTAGATTTATCCAGTGGTGTTACTTTGTGTATTCAATATGCTATAATAAATAAAGTTGGTGAAATTACATGATGAGGAATTGTAAAGTGCATTTTAGAATTATTGTAATGGTTATAAAAAGAAATGCAAGTAGATTTATTTTTCGCTATACTTTTATCATTCATTAACCTGTTTTGTTTATCAAAGCTTTAAATAATGCCAATTTATCACTGGCTTAGGACTATATCACTGTTGTTACATGGTTAATGCACTTTAATTTGATTTCCTTATATATCTCTTTTATAATTAGGTGACATGCATTTTTTTACCTTGTAGTTAACAAACGGATTCCTCATTTCGGGAAATATACTAATATGTGTGTTTTCAAAATAGCTATAGTGTTATTTTATTCTGCTTGGCACCTACATCTCTGTAATATATAGATTGATTCTATATTTTGAAACTATTTAGTAGATGATTCAGGTAGATTATTAGGAATACTTCTGAATACATTTTAGTTGGGAATATTTAAGGATATATAATGAATATTTTCATGTATCTTACATCTTAAAACACTTCATAGTATTCTTGCGTTTACATCATTCTACGATACTTAAGATATTCATTTACATCAGTCAAATGGGAATCATTTGCTATAAGCATGGACTTTATTTGTGTGCATTTTATTTTATACTGTTTACATGCTTGTGATTATGAAATTAATCACATTATGATATAAATTATTTCTTTTTTGATTCTTAGTTAACATTTGGAACTATAATTCTAGATTCATTGTATATTCATTGGTCTGTTATTTAAAAGTCATAAACTATATATATATATATATATATACTTTTTTAATCATGAAAAAGCATAATACATGTGCAATTTTCTTTAGTACAGAAGCTTCTCCAGGTTGCTTTTATGTTTTGAAGGGAAAATAAAGAGCCTAATATTACCTTTAGGATAGAGATTGTATAAAAGCAATCATTTTATGAACATCTAAAGAGTTAATGGGATTTAAGACAAATGACATTGTTGTTGCCATTGTTTATTTTCTCTGTTACAGTAGATTGGGTATACTTCTGTTATACCTCTTCAAAGTTTCCGTATGTACTTTTTCTTTTAGTGTAAATGCGAAGAATCTCAAAAATTTGACACGCACTTAAAAGAAAACAGTATGAAATTGAATTTTCATTTTAATGGTAGAAAATACAATAATGTAATTGCCAACATTATTGAGAGCACTTAATAGGAGATCTAGCGATTCCGTTGTGGTATACATTTGATTTTAGTATGATCAGACTATTGACATGTTTTGAATATTTTCCTCAAGTCCTAAAATTGTAAAACTTACTGACACGCTACTGCCTATCTTGGCGTATTTTATATGTCGACTCTATACCGTGAAAAGAGGAACCATACTCTTTCACTGAAACATTACTGAAGATTTCCATTTTGAAAGGAATGATTTATTTTAACACTGCATATTTAAAACATTTAAGCAATAGGCAGTCATAACACGTGAAGGGATGTTTTGACATAGCACGGCTATGCTCACATTGCTGTTTTTGAAAAATATAATAATATACACACGTATACCTAAGTCATGAGATTTTTAATATGAGTGAATAAGTGTTAAAACTCTTGGGTGTTCGTTTTATTTTGTTCTTCTGGTTTTTTTATATCTTCTAGAATTGGTATAGTATGTTATTGAGCATAATTCAGTCTTATGGGCTAATGACATTCTAAAATTTTCCATTTAACTCCTCTAGACTTTGGGGAAAAGTGCTTATTTACAATTTGTGACATCACAAGGACTGCTCCTTACACAGCTGTCACACAAATATTACTCCCGAAGATTACAGAAATAATTTAAAAATAATAAACACAATTGGTGAAATAATTCAATATTTACATATTGAAGTTGTCTCATATCATAGATCAAGATGAAAAACAGTATCTGCCCTGGGGACTCTGAGGAGTATGTATATCATGTAAAACCCAACCAACAAACCATCCATGAAGGAAAACACAAACCAAACATTCGTGGAGTTTATAGGTTGATTTTTAAACTGGTTTG